TTTCGTATAAGCGCCTTATGAACAAGAACTATAGTTCAAACTTAATATTCTTTATCTCAATAATTTGATCATAAGGAGTAACTACGCTGGTTGTTCATGCTTTTCTTCTTTAATTCCTCATAAAAAATAAAAAAAAGTCCTGAAGAATAGATCAAGGAAAATGCAACTTGAAAGTTTAGAGCCACTTTCACTAATCAACTTTCTGAGCAAAAACAGAGTACCTATATGTGTCAGAGTTAAGAGATTCCAGTGTAGGACATGTCTCTATTTGAATTCTCTATTGATGCTGGAAGGACTTGGAGTTTACTATATGTTGACAGTGATTTTCTTTTTTTTTTTTTCAAATTCTAGTTCTACCAATCATTCTTTAGTTGAATGATTAGTACTTTTACTCTTTTCTTTAAATTGTAAATTCGAGTTAAATTGTGTGTTCTGTGTATATTTTTCTTAAAAAAAATAACTGTATTGTAATTAATATGGAAGTGTCATCTAATTATTGAAATATATGAATTTCAACGAAATTGATACATTTTTAGCCCTTATCTACTGGGGAATACTATGGTGCTTTGGATCATGGTAGCTTCACAATTCCATGTCTTTGAATTAGGTGAAAAAAAATCAGAATCACTGTAAATAAATGAATAATTGATTCATAGCAACTCTTTTCTTTCTTATAAATTTGAAGTCACCATCCGTATAAATATATTGTAGGGTTCAGGCCTGTGGATGTATGGGGATGGAATTGGGATTTTGGTGAGTAGAAGCTTTGTAGCCCTGTGAACTGTTCTCTAGTTGTCATTCACTTTCATCTTAAAGAGACATGCATCTTTTTAGATGCTTCAATATTCTCACTGTTTATGGATTACTCCATTCATCATTCTTTTACCCTGTATAATAGGTTATATATATAGCTTTAACTTTAGGTATCCAATAGTATGAAATATGGTATCCTAATATAAAATTATATACTTATTCTCCTTGATAATGTCCTGTCTGTGGATTGTCTTACCGTATAGCAATAATACATGTATTATATTGCATATATTCTTAATCATTCATTCATTCCTTTGTTTGGCTGAAAATGAGAAAGCAGTTTTACTTATCTCTTTCGTTTTTTCAATGATTATCCTCTTTTACTTAATTTATACCATGTCTTACACATTTTATTTTATATTCATTCTGACCAAAAGTAGACCATTGCCTAAACTAATTATTCTCTTCACACAATAAAACAAAAATCCCTGGTTTCCAGACTGTGTTAATTTGTCATAAAAAGAATTTTGATTTGTCTTAAAATCTTGATCAGGATAGGATTAAAAAAATGACAGATGTTAAATAATAACGATTTTTTCACTTTATTTTAATTATAGAATAATTATACTTGATTGGAGATATTGTAACTTACTAATATATATGATGATATGTTTACTAGTGATGATAAATTTTGTTGATGAGGTAGCTTCTTGCTCTGTTATAGATATTAATATATATGGAGTTGATGCTTTGCTCTTGAATTCTTTTCTTTTTTCTTTTTCAGACAACAGAAAATATTAAAATATATTTAATGAACTAACATGATCTGTACTTGAAAGTAAAATTTTAGCTGTCTGTTCATATATATATATATATATATATTTATGAAGAAAATATTGGGTCACATTGTTAATTCAACATGGCTCCAACTTAATCTTCACAGATTATTAGTTCATAAACTTGTATGTTTGTGTAGTCAAGAAATTGAGAAGATATAAATAGTTGTTTTGGTTATAAAAAAGTTGTCTTTATATCATATGAAATAGAATTTTTACACTTCAATTTTGTATTAGCAACTAATCAAATCTCCAACCTTCATTTTTTGTGAAGATGGAGAAAGATTGTTTGATCTGAATTTTTGTTGCAGGTGAACTCACGTTTTAAATAAGAGAATTCTTTCTGACTTAAAGAAGAACATGTTGCATTTTTTATACAGTTTAGAATTCTAGATCATCCTCTTATATATATATATATACATTTGTATCTATGTATATATATATATATATAATGTTCTTATAGTAGACGATGAGTAGTGACACTAGGTGATTGGTGGGATCACATGGACCAAAAAACACTCTTTTAACAATTAACAGAAAAAAAAAAAAGAAAACCTAACCCCTCACAAAAGCAATATATATATTTTTTAACATGATCTACAACATTATACCATAGAAGCCCTTTATTTTCTTTATGAGGGTGAGCAAACAAGCCCTTTAACGTGAAGTAAGTTGAATGGCAAATCACCCACTTACCCAAAAGATTATATATAGCAAATTATTTAAGAAGACACACAAAAGTTAAAAAAGCCAACAATAGTGTGATGTCTTATATATATATATATATGTATATATGTATGTACATAGACAATAGTGTGATGGGTAACAAAGAATATACGATAAGGTTATATAACACATCTATATATATATATATATTGATTTTGAAAAAAAAAAAAAAAAAAAGCTAAAAACTTAGGTTAAATTAGAAATAGTTTAGTGCCACCTACCCCTTTAATTGTTTCCATATGCATAAAATATATTGGCCACTCGGCAAAAGAGAATAAACCCCACATTCATGCCTCCCTCTGCCACCACTTGAATATGTTAGTTTAACTCAGAAAATAAATTGAGTTTCATCATTCTGTCTTACCACTTAACAGTGATATGTCATTTTCACTTTATTTGTTTTCTTAAGATAAAATTAATATGTATTTTTTTAATATATGTTAATAATAACGTAACGGATAATATTATATTTAAAAAAAAAAAAGAACGAACACACGATAAAACATATATATTCTACTCGAACCCACATAGGAATGTATAAAAGTATATTACTCCAAGTTTAATAATTTATCGAATGATTATCTCTTTCACACTTAATCTTGTCAATTCAATCTCTACATAAATTATAACGATTTAGGTAATCAATAGTATTATAATTTTTTTTTTTTAATAAATACACATGCAAACATATTAAAAAATATTTACTATATTATTAGAATTTTAGTTATTTATCGAAGTAATTTTCTCGTTTTATACCTATCTCATATATCATCCAAATATATTTTATTTATACAATTAGAAAAGTAAATTTTATATTTGTTTATTATATACAAAAATGGAAAAGATTAGGGAGGGAAGGCATCTGATTGGATATGGACTTTGTTAATTCATAGATTATGGAGGATAAGATACATGTCATATCATCATCTTCATAACCAAATCAACTCTCGCCAAACCTTCCTCGCATGCAATATATATATATATATATGTATGTATGTATGTATGTATAGTGAAATCGGGGATGATAAAATTTTAAATTAATAATTATTGAGAATAATGTACTAATTTAATTGAAATCTTAAAGTTTAATTTATTTTATTAATTAATAACGTATTAATCATTCCTTAATTTGACGATTAAAAATATTTTAAATTCAAATTTTTATGTATTAAGATTAAGATTTTTCATAATCTGATTTGAGATAAACCATCCACGGTAAGAATCCACGGTAGAAATTAATAGTTACCAATAAACTTACCTTATGGGTAATTGTTAATTAACTTAGACTGGTAAATTATTATTCTTTAGTTAATAACAAAATCTTAAAATTACCAATTTGGTAAATTATTATTTTCTCTATTTTAAAATTTTTTTAAAATAAAAAATTTATAAATTTTCCGACACTGATCGTATCCGTATATGCCACGTCAAGTCACGACTCGCTAATTAGCTGATAGTTATCAACTAATTTCCTAAAAATTAGCACTAAATTATCTTAGATATTTATTAATTAATTAATTTTAATGAGGTTTTTAAGAAATTAAAGACTGAAAAAATACACCTAATTTGAACTGGGTAATTTATTTAGACTGAGTTAATCTTGCGAAAATCGAAATTTTATCCGTGTTAATTACCATTTAATTAGTAGATAATAAGAGATTTGCATTAAAAAAAAAAAAAACTGTAAAAAACAAAACAAACATAGGTAAAAGTAAAAACCGACGGTAATTTTTATTAATTAATTAAAATAAAACCTAATTATCGATATTCAAAAAGTTTGAGAAAGAAACGATCTTTGAGTTGTCTTCTTCTTCTTCTTCTTCTTCTTTTGGTCCTTATAAATACCCCTTTAGTTTCTCCGTTTTCTCTCAACCACTAAACTCTGTATATTTCTTATAAATGCTTATCTTTTAAGTGCTTTTCCTTTTAAGTGCTTTGTTTGGTAAGGAAAAAGATGAGTACTGCGTCGAAGTTTTATTCAGTTTTGACGTCGACGTTGTTTTGTTATCTTGCTGTGATAACATTCATCGGAACCGCCATTAATGGCGTCGAAGCTTCTCACAGGATTTATCCGCAGTTTCAGTCTCTGTCTGTCGACATCGTCGACCAAATCCACAGAACTGCTTACCATTTTCAGCCTCCTAAACACTGGATTAACGGTATGCTTTTATTTCTTCGTATATAAATTGCTTGCTTATATATATATATATATGTATGTATACTAAAGTCAGATAGATATATAAACCCTTTTGTGAAAAAAACACCTTCTGCAATTTGTTTGGGTTTTAATGTCTATTTTTTTTCTCCAAAAGAAAGTTGCATGCATCAGTACTTGAATCATCAGGTTTTCGATAATTTCTTTTATTTTTCCCTTAATTTTCTTTTTACATTCTGGGGTTTTGAAACTCTGCACATAGTGTGAATATATATATACATATATATGTACATATATATGTTACCCAGATATTATCCAGCAAATGAAACCTTTGATTTTCTCACTTCTTTTTTGGAAGTAATATCAAATTATTTACTGATGAATTCAATTACATTCTTTGTTCATCATGTTTTCATCTCCCTTTGTCTCATGAGAAACTACACACAAAACATATACATACATATATATATATATATATATGAAGAACATATATCGAAAATATAAGGTTTTTCCATAATTCATAATCCAGCGAACGCTGGAAGGGGTCTTGAAGTTTTAGTAAATCTAATTGATCTGGTAAGAGAATATCAGGGCCATACTTTAAGGCAAAGTTTATGGTACGTGCAGACTGAAATTTAACTGTGAAGATAAGATTTCAAAATTTTAGTAATTGATTAATAATAATCACAATTAATTACTATAATTTTTAAATAGTACTTTCCATATAAGCTTTATCTTAATTTATGAGATCCCTTTTTTCTATTCTTTTTTTTTAGGTTTTTTTTTTTTAATATTTGATATACTATTTATATATATATATTTATGAATTAGATGATAATAGTGGATATTTTTATTTCGTTTTTTTCTCTTCTTTCCTAGAGTTCTAATCGTTGTGGGATTACGCATGGGTTGAATAAAGTTGAAGTGGCGGTCACAGTCAAGAAGTCAAGGATAGATACACACACACACACACACACGTGTATCGATCTATATATATTTAGATAGACATATACATACACACACACAGAGACATACCCTCTAAAAACTGAAATTGGGTTAGAAAAATGACCCCTACTAGATTTGTGTTGGTGTCCAATCTGAAATGAGAGATTGGTAGAAAGGTGTTAATGTCTAATCCCTTTTATTATCTTTGTTATAATATTAAACATTTAAATTTTATTATCTTAATAAATACAAAATTTGTTTATATTTATGATTCAGAGCAAGCTCTATGAATTCTTTGGTCGTGATCTAAAACTTTGGTCCCTCATAAATCTCACATCTATTTTTAAATTACATATATACATATATATATATATATATATATTTACATATATAGATATTTATATATACCTCTTTTATGGTGATGGGTGATAGTTAATGAGTGTTTTTAACTTTTGGTGTGGGTTGGGTGTACGATTATTCCGTGCACCCACATTTACTTCATGTGACTCTCTTTTGGTTTTCGAGTTCTGACTTTAGAGACCCACGAATATCTCTTTTAGATCCTGCTTTTTCTGATTCTCTTTTTTTTTTTTAATCTCCTTGTAGTAAAGTAAATGTATGTGGCATCCTATAGAGTATGGACTAATAAGATATATCTAATGTAGATCGAATATATAAATATATATACATATAAATAGATATATATGCATACCCAGTAACTAATTTAAACACATGCTTTTCATTTTTATACTCTTGCTTGGTTAATTACTAGTTTCATTTGGTTAATTTTTTGATCATCAATATTCTTAAACTCTTTTTTCTCTCTTTGTTCTTTTTTGTTGGCTGCCATTCCGTTCTCTAAATCAAATTCCAGACCCAAATGGTAAGTCAGTCTCCTGCAAACTTTCCCTCTCTAATTTTTTTAGTAATATTAAATTGAATATTAATTAATGATAAATATAATTAAACAGCTCCAATGTACTACAATGGCGTGTACCATCTCTTCTACCAATACAACCCAAAGGGTGCCGTGTGGGGCAACATCGTGTGGGCCCACTCAGTTTCAACGGACTTGATCAACTGGATACCTCTCAAGCCAGCGATCGTTCCATCTGAGCCGTTCGATATCAAAGGCTGCTGGTCCGGATCGGCTACAGTCCTACCCAACAACATCCCCATCATCCTCTACACTGGTCTCGACTCCAACGAAACCCAACTACAAAACTACGCCGTTCCGGCTAACATTTCCGATCCGCATCTCGAAAATTGGATAAAACCCGCCAACAATCCCTTGGTCGCACCCGACCATACCGTCAACCGAACCGCATTCCGTGACCCGACAACCGCCTGGTTAGGCTCAGACGGGTGGTGGAGAATGCTGGTGGGTAGTAAAAATAAACGTAGGGGCATTGCGCATTTATACAAGAGCAAGGATTTCATGAACTGGGTCAAGGCTAAACACCCGATCCATTCCAGACCCGATACGGGTATGTGGGAATGCCCAGATTTTTTCCCGGTTCCGAAATCGGGTGAAAACGGATTGGATGTGGGAATTACGGGTCGAGATGTTCGACATGTGTTGAAGGTGAGCTTGGATTTAACAAGATATGAGTACTACACCATCGGTAGATATTATCCGGAGATTGATAGGTACATTCCTTATGATACATTAGTTGATGGGTGGGCGGGGCTCCGACCCGATTATGGAAATTTTTATGCTTCCAAGTCGTTTTTTGATCCCAAGACGAATAGGAGGATACTCTGGGGTTGGGCCAATGAGTCGGATTCAAGACAAGATGATGTCGACAAGGGTTGGGCTGGAATTCAGGTTATTATATTAATTAGTAACTAATTAGTGTTTATTATAAAACCAATTCATGTTTAATTAAACTAATTATCTTTTTAAACTAATTAGACAATTCCAAGGAAAGTGTGGCTTGACCCAAGTGGGAAGCAGCTCAGGCTGTGGCCTGTTGAAGAAGTAGAGAAGCTGAGAAAGGATCCTGTTTTGATGGAGAACACGGCTGTTGAACTGGGTCAGCATGTTGAGGTCACCGGAGTAACTGCTGCCCAGGTGACTTTTTCTTTCTCCGCGATTTGTATATATATATATATCTGTGTGTGTGTATAATAATTGTTATGTAGTTTTAATTTATATGGGCATGATGTAAACAGTGTGATGTGGAGGTAAGTTTCACAATTCCAAGCTTGGAGAAAGCAGAGCCGTTTGATCCAGAGTGGGTCAATGCACAAGACCTATGTGCTCCAATGGGTGCAAAGAAACAGGGTGGGGTTGGACCATTTGGGCTCTTGACATTAGCCTCTGAAGACTTGGAGGAAGCAACTCCTGTCTTCTTCAGAGTCTTCAAAGCTGATACCAAATACGTAGTCCTCATGTGCTCTGATGCTTCAAGGTCTGTTTTATACATATATATGCACACACACACACACACTATATTTGAATTTATAGTTTTATTTAATATTCAATTAACTTTTTTTTTTTGCCCATATGTTATTCTTCAACAGTTCCTCTTTGAAGGAAGGTCTTTACAAGCCATCATTTGCTGGGTTTGTAAATGTAGATATAGAAGCAGAGAAAAGGATCTCTCTTAGGAGTTTGGTATGGATGCATGCCTTTCCCTAATTATCTCATACATGAAATTTTTCTAATTAGTATTTTTTTAAAAAATTTCTAAGTTAAATAACTTATGAACAAAAACAAATTGCAGATTGATCATTCAGTCGTTGAAAGCTTTGGAGCTGGAGGGAAAACTTGCATAACTTCTAGGGTTTACCCTACAAAAGCAGTGGATGGGGAAGCTCACTTGTTCGTGTTCAACAATGGGACTGAGGCTGTCCACGTGGAGAAGCTCAGTGCCTGGAGCATGAACAGACCACTGAGGATGAACAACTGAAGATAATTAAGAGAAATATCAAGAGGAGGAAATTAAGATTTTTAGTACTTCGTACGTCAGTAGTTTGATCATCTTGTTTGTCGTTGTAGTTTCTGTAGTTTTTAATGAATTAAATGCTCCTTTAGATTTCACTTAATTTAATTTCTATTTATAATTAAATATCAATCACTCCCTACACACACACACACACACACACACACACACGCACACACACGTACACATATATACATATATATCAAAGTAAAACTGAAATTTAAAATTATTTTATATCTAATATCATAATATTTGTAATAATTAATTAACTATTTATTAAATATATTAAAAGAAATTAATATAATAATATATAAATAACTGTTATCTATCTATTTAATGTAATAATCTATTTTAATATACTTTCCTCAAATATATATATATATATATATATACATACATACATATACATATATATGTACACAGCATGAGTTACAACCATAAATTTATTCTCTTCATTCCTCTCTTCTTCATTGTGGTTTCATGCATGCTAAAATTATGTTGAAGTTCAATTAGTGTTATTTATCATACTGGTAAAAAAAATTGCAGATATTTCTTCGTAACTTCTTAGAATTCATAACAGGTAAATTGTGTGTTTATATGAATAACGAGATAGCAGGTGAAGATATATATATATATATATATATATATATATATATATATATTCCATGAAACATAGATCACAGGAATGTATAGAGCAACATATACTCTTGTAATAGAGAGACTGGTAATGCATAGAGCAATATATATTGTTATAATAGAGAGATGCAGCAGGCGCAATTCTCTATCTCAATTGTTTTAACAATATCAAAATTTTCAATGAGCTTTAAGTTCATAATATCAGTTATGATACTTTAACTTTTCAACAATTAGATGTTAATGTTTAAACATCAACAGGTTCCAAAATTCATAATCTAATGGTTAAAATGGTGTTTACAGTTAATAATATAAGCTCCAACTCGTAGTAACACGATACTTTCAAAAATATATTACATTTTAGCCTTCATGAAACACTGTATCCACATTGAATCAACAAATAGAATGCGAGTTCAGGCCTTGATTTTCAGCTCTCAGCCCCATTCAGAACAATCAAATGTCCAGAAGTCATTTTGCAGAACAAATTGTTCATATGATAATTTTGGTCGAGTAGGCACTTTGTTTTCCTATGATCAGTAGCAAAATCAAAAGGGTAACTTATGTGGTATTGAAAGCTAATGATGAGATCAACTGCCAGTTGAAATGGACAGATGATTGATTATGCATACGAGTATCGGGCATGATCTATGCTCCTGCTACTAGAGTCAACAACACATCAGAACTTACCACCTTAGAAGTCTTCAGAATTAGAAGTATCTTCGAAGGACGGTGATGTATTTCAGAATGTGCTTGCATAAGTATTGGCAGCCCAGACATTTATCTTCTTCATGCTCCGTTTTCACGGCTTGCAAGTAACTGGTTACTATCTTCTTGTCTAATTCATAATACTCTTCCATTTTCTTCAAAGGTTTCAAATCCAGGTCAAGGAAATAGGCCTGCAAAATTTACAACTGTCACGAGATGTATTGCCAATAGAGGAAATTGACTTTGCTAAAGGTTCTAAAGAATCTGTGTTTTCAACAAGGGAGGTTTCATAAGATTCCAGCGTTAGTATATCAGTGGAAAATGTAATGACTGGATGAAACTCTTACATTAAGACCAACACCTCACAGCAATCTGACATCAAATGCAATATTTAAACTCAAATAAGATATGTAAATTGCTCTCTACCTTGTAATAAAAACTTTGATTGGTGGATTCTAGGCTTATATAATTATATGAAGATCCAAGATCTATTTCTTCCTTCGGTATAAAACTGATCATCAAACTACAGTCCTTTGCTGTTGCAGCTATCAAATAGTCTTTGACAATGTTCAAACTTTCCTCCAAAGAAATTGAATGCAATGACGTGCGTCTAAGTGACACTCTTTCTTTGTCCAGTTCTTTACAGACCGTGCAAGACTGAGAGATTATGTTATAGTATGCATGAATTGCTCCTTCAATATCAAGATTATCAAGCTTCTGAACATCAAGAACCCGATCTAGAACTCGTGAATTATAGATTGCCTCAGCAACAAGCTTTATAAAACTTGATGTACGCAGGCCATCCTCTGCCTGAATGACACCCTTGAGTGCCTCTTCAAATGCTTGTCCAGTTGCGATGCTGGTACTGTCAGTGCCACCTCCCAAGCCCCCGAATACAAGGGAACCGTTCAAGAATACACGTAAATTGTTTTGAGGAGTGGCATAGAGAGCTTTGATAGCTTTACAAATTTTGTCCTTTGATTCAGAGAACAGATCAAGGGGATCATATTCACTGAATTCTGAAATCTGCAATATTGTTTGTCTTAAGATATTAGTTAGTTAAATTTCTGGAAAAGGGAAGAATATGGAAGAAAGTGAAGAGAAAAAATTGCAGAAAAAAATAGGAGTCTTCTGCTGCAGGGAAAATATTTTTGTGACTTACATTTTCCATTAATTTCATACACATATATATACCAAATGGAAGAAAAAGTTTACAGACTTCAACTAATCCTAACAATTCTAATACATATAATAATTTAAGCAGAAAAATATAGAACTGAACAAAAACATGGAGCTCCATTCCTATTTGACAGTTATTATCAAAAGCTATCAATATCAGAAGAAAACAGTAAATATAAAGGCCAGAGCTAAAATGACAAAAAAAAATTAACTCCCTATTCCATAGAAAACTCAATCTTCAACAGCTTGGACAAGCCAGAATAAAGGTGAAAAGTTCCAGGCTGACAATAATAGTGGGATCATATAGGAAAACTGATACAATAGCTAGTCCTTACGAATGGCAGAAAAAGAATATACCTCTTTTTGACGTAACTTCAGGACTTGATGCATTCTAAAACGACTTATTCTTCTTTTAATTGCATTCCTCTCTGTTATGAACCTTGAAGTTGGGATGAATCCACACTTTGGCTACTTTATGGAAACAAACAGGGAAATGAGCATAAAAAAAACAACATTTTCAGAAATTAGAAGAAAATATACCAATGAATTGAACTAAAGTTAAACATGATAAAGAAGCAGAAGGAAACGAAGGGATCAATAAACTAGAGCACCTTTATTTCGACAGATATGCATGCGTTGCCTTTACCAATTCCTGAGATGAAGGACGTAGAATAAAGCACGATTATGTTAGACGACATTATGCTACTATATAAAATGGAACCTGTCAAAGCACTTGAATTGAAGATCCAAGTGGTAGCTTCTTAAAGACATCACACATGGTAATGGCTCAGGGTGGGAAAAAAGAAAAGGGAAGACCTCCCTGCATCTGAGAATTGTCTCCCCCATTTGAAAAAGGAAAATGAACTCACTCCCACTCTTTTAAATAAATTTTAGATATGGTGCTTACCATCAGGAAAAAGTGAATGATCATTTAGGAGAAGCACAGATTCATGACTAGTATCAACCTTGGCTGCATCAACTCGCCAAGCAGGGCGTTGGCAAATCAAATTCTTTTCAACACATTCAAGAAATTCCCTGGATACGAGAACACGAATCTGCCAAATCCAAGGAAATAAAGATTAGGAAGTTCTGATAACACCATTATTTTCACAAATTTTCAAGTATTACCTTACCGAGGAGATAATAAACGATTGGTTTAACATATCAATGGTAGTAACATCTGTCATGGAGAAGCTATTGAATCTTAATTCTCTAGACGACAGCATTTATAATATGATCACTTTACAAGTACATATAAGATCAGATCCTCAAGTGAAGTCCAATGTCAATATCAGCAATAAGCTCAACTTATACCTCCTGGTGAAGCAATCAAGGCTACTCAATAAATAATTTGGTCCATATATCTTAACAAGAAACTGCTTCAACTAAATTATCACCATCCAGTAATTTCCCAAATAAAACACAATAAAACATAATAAGGGAAGGAAAAGCAAGACAATTTTGATTATCAAAAAGAAAGAAAAAGGAAAAGAAACACACCCCGGCATCAACATGTTTGGGACCTAACAAAGGGCTCATGACTTGTGTGATATATAACTGCTCCAAATATTCCTTCTTTGGGGATGATATGAGCTCTTTGTCGTCTCTCCACAGAAGCATTTCATGAGTTGTTAAAAAGGATTTACCATTCAAGCACCAATCACAATTGTTCGCTGCCTTCTGTATCCGGATCACTTTTCCGGCCTTAACTTACAATACCCGTTGATAAGGTGATTAGCTAAAAATATATAAACGATCTCTAAAAGAAATTTAGAAGATATAATACATTTTGAATCAGAAAATTAATTGCCATATTTTAAGCATTTTATAAAAGAAAAGAAAGAACATGGAAGGACTTACAAAGGTGGGAGAGGACCCAATGTAAGCGAGAACAAGATTAGCTGCTCCTTCCCCTTTGTAAACCCAATCAGCTGCATCATTTTGCCTCAAAATCATCTCCATCTAGTAAATTTGTGCCTGCATTGAGATTACACATACACAAATAAGAAACAAGAAAGATAAATTTGATGAATTCTAAAAGAACAAAACCTAAGATTTGCAACCAATTAAAAGTCAAATCAAAGTGAGAGAATCTAAGACGTGAGAAAAGGTAAAAGAACACTTTGCGTTAAAAATCAATAGTCTTGGAAAAGAGCATAAGAGAAGAGATCAATCGAGTGACTCCATCTAAAGTTACTCAATCAAAGTTCTTAATTCTTCAACTGGAAAAGAGAATGAAATGGAACTTGTCCTGTGCATTTACTGGAGCTAAATCCAAACAGGCAAACAGTCTTGAAAAAAGCAGCAACTGTTTTATTTTAATCAATCCAAGTGCATGACATCCCAAATCTTATGACCAAAAATTATTGCAGTTATATCTGACATTCCTCAAGCAAGTGGATCTAGGAATTAGTCAAAGATTATCACTGAATGAATGCATCTGTGAGCATATTGATTTTAAACCCTAAACATAGGTAGAGCACAAAAGCTTATCAAGCGAGTAGAAGATGGATAACGCATAAAAGATTTGCAGAAACCATATATCACTCTTCTGGGGAGACTTAAAAAGGAAACGCAAGAATATAATTAATATCACATCAAGGGGCTTGAGTGCGAGAAATCAAACCAGTACAAGCTAAATATCACATGAAACAGTGGCACTTAGGTTTGATGTGAAGACTTTAAGAAGTATATAGATTGTGATACTTCTGTTAAATACTATACAGATTGTGGCCGATTATCTATGCTCTGACTTCATCTTCATCTCCCAGTACAGCGGTTATATGTATAGCCCAATAAAGCTGATACTATGTAAGTTTGATAAGCATTCCGATGGTCACTTACAAGAAATACTATACAGATTGTGGCCGATTATCTATGCTCTGACTTCATCTTCATCTCCCAGTACAGCGGTTATATGTATAGCCCAATAAAGCTGATACTATGTAAGTTTGATAAGCATTCCGATGGTCACTTACAAGAAATTTGCAGTGGTAATCTCAATCATGAAAAGCTGCAGAATGAGCAGCAATAAGACACAATAATCTACACTAATGACTACTCTGCTAATAAAAAGGAAAGGCAACTGTACATACCAATTAGCGCAAAACCAGTTCTACAACAAAGTTTTCGTAGCACGGTACAGATCATATTAATTGCGTAGCCTCTGCACAAGCTCAAAAGCAGCTATTAGCCTTCTTCTTCCTCTGCGAAATCAACCAAAAACGTTATCTAAATCTACTTTCATCTCAGCAGAACAATGTATGTATTCTTACCGAGAAGAAACCCACATGGAAATTCCAAGAGGTAAAGTTAATGTTGCCGGCTTAAGATTTATTGTGATATATTAATGAAAACTGGTGATGGATATGGTTGCAATTCGTCAAACAACCGATATTCATACTTCAATACGCCTGGCGATTCATCGAACAGTTAATTTGCGTAATGCGCGAACTCAGAGCTTAAGAAGAGAGGAAATGAAGCTAATAAAAACCCTATTTACACTCCAGAAGGTCCGTAAATGAAAATACAATAAAATGCAGATCTGCCATTGACAGGATCTCCTAGGATTTGTTCACCTCCCAGAAGAAACGATCGATCTGCCGTAATCAATTCTTCGACTTCTGTTAAATCCGCACGTGCATGCATGCTTAAATGCTTACATTGGAAAGTTATAAGTTTAAAAAATAAATTACTTCATGATTTTATTTAAATTTGAAATTTAAGTTAAATTAAAGAAATATTTTAAACTACGTGTTTTGTTCAAAGGATATTAAAATATAATAATTATTAGTTTAATACAATTTATGTATGCATTAATTATATTAAATAAAAACTTAAAATATATAAATCATAGGTAATAAATATATCATTACCATATTTGTTGTTTATATGATAAATTTTTTTTTAAAAAATATTAAAATTAAGAGGAAAAAAATTAGAAGATCATTTGTATATTAATGTATATTATATCGTTTAAATCACAAATGTTGCGCGATCATTTTTCAAATATTACACTAAAAATTTTAAAAAAATTACTTATAAGGTTACGAAATATTATAATATTTGAATTTTTTATAAAGTGATAATCTAATTCAGATATTTATTTATCTTGAATTTTTAAAAGAGATATATGTAATCTTTTAAGAGTTATTTTTATGCAATGGTATAAAATAACATATAATTATATACGGTAAAAGGCTTATGAAATGCATGGCTCAGTTATCCGAGCTTTATGAGTAGAGAAATAATGGACGACGTGACTCGGATTACGTAGCACGTCAACATGTGTGTATATATATATATGTGTGTGTGTGTACTAAATTAAATGATTTTGTGTGTGTGAAGTGTATATATACTATTATTATTTGGGTGACTGGGATGAGTGTGCGACGGGGGTGTGTGAGAAGGTGATGGAGATGTTGTGTGAAGCGTTGGGCTGACTTTTTGTGAGGAGAGAATTATGGTGGGAGTTTACTATCCGCCGTGTCCACAGCCGGAGCTGACTTTTGGATTGAAGCCACGTTCGGATCCGTATGTTTTAACAATTTTGATTCAGAATGGAGTTCCTGGTTTGCAGGTTAAGGTTGAAGATGAGTGGGTTGACGTGAAGCCTGTTCATGGAGCATTGACTGTAAACCTCGGTGACTTTCTTCGGGAAATCTATCCAACAGACGCATACACACTCTCTCTCTCTCTCTCTACATATATATACACAAGCGGTGATCGAATATATATACACACACACACACACACACACAAAAGTGTTAGTTTTTCTTCTAAATTCTGCAGATAATATCAAATGGTGAATACAAAAGTGTTAAGCACCGCGTGTTGGCAAACTCGTGGGAGGAGGCAAGAATCTCAGTTGTAATGTTCTTCAATGTTAACAAATGGAATGATTCTGGTTATTTTGGACCTTCGCCCGAGCCACTGTCGCCGGAGAAACCAGCCGGGCACCGTGAATTCTCAAAAGAAGAATTTACGGCCTCGTTTTGCGGCAGGGCACTCGACGAGGAAACTCTGCCTGA